TGCCAACCCCTGCACTGCTGGTCCCAGTCAAACACATTACGAGAAAGAAGCCAGGGAAACATCAAATGTGGAGAATTTAAATATTAAGACTCCTTGTTTTTGCCTGCTTTTTTTATTCTATTTATTTATTTATTTTAAATATTTTAGTATCTTTTCATAGTTAATAGAAGCAGACATCTCAAATCTCTCATTGAGAAGCCTTTGCTTTAATGAAACGCAGCTCCAGCAGCAATGCTTATCCTGTCACACTTGCACAAAAAAAAAAAAAAAAAAAAAAAAAGGACCAAACACAAACTAACTGCAACTTAACATTCAGCACTTGAACATCAACAGTCCTGTGAGACTTTACACTGTCTGGCACACATGTTGATGGGACAGCACAGCTGACATGTTGCTGGAAATCAATTTGTTTTTGGACGTCATTTAACACCCCACTGTTTTTCTACATTCTAAAAAAAGATATAGAAATTACTACTTTAGCCTCTTAAATTATACTGTGGCAGAGCTGTAGGTGGCAAGACATTGGCTTTTTGACCACATGGTCAGCAACTTGATTACCATCTGAGAAATGACAGGACAGGAAGCTTTGTTTGTTTACTTCTTTCTTCTTGCCCCCCATGTGTGAAATCAATCCAATGCCCTTCCCAATCATAACTGTCAGTGAATGACAGAGCACTGAAGAGTTGTCCAGCAGAGCTTAGCTGTGCTGAAATAAAAGCAGTCACAGCACTGCACACTATGCTCTTGCATAAAGTCATCCTCCACATTATCTGTCAACACACTCTCATGTAACAGTGCATGATGCATAATTTATTTTGTTTATAGTCATAACGCCTTCTATATACAGTAACAGAGGAAACTGTATCAAGTTAATGAATTTCTACAAGATACTCAAAGTCTTTTTTACCCCAGTCACATTATTTCACTATAAGGCCACCAAAAATCAAACAGAAACTAAGTGCAGCAGCAGCACCCACTGGTGGTTTTTGAACAAACTGCATCCCTGATTTCTTATCAAGTATTTGTTCAAACGGCGATCGGCGAAAACAATTAAAACCAACGCCCAACTATTGTCCAGGTTCCCCTTTTGCCACCAAAACAGCTCTAACCTGTTGGGGTGTGGACATCATTGGGGGTATCTGACACTGCTTTGTTTCCAGTGGTTGGACCCTACGTGGATCGGGCTTGTTGTGGTGCAGCCCACAGATGTTCAGTTTGATCTGGGGAGTTTGAAGTCAGGTCAGCTCGGGTTCACGAGCAGGTTTGCGATGTGGCTGGATGCCCTGTCCTGCTGGAAGTGCTGCACAGATATCCTAGATAGACCTCTCTGCATTGAATCATACCTGTTATTAACCTCTGTCTCTCTTCCACAGCATGTCTTTTATCCTGTCTTCCTTCTCTCACCCCAACCGGTCGCAGCAGATGGCCCCGCCCCTCCCTGAGCCTGGTTCTGCCGGAGGTTTCTTCCTGTTAAAAGGGAGTTTTTCTTTCCCACTGTCGCCAAAGTGCTGCTCATAGGGGGTCATATGATTGTTGGGTTTTTCTCTGTATCTATGAAGCGCCTTGAGGTGACTTTTGTTGTGATTTGGCGCTATATAAATAAAATTGAATTGAATTGAATATCAAAGTAACATCCAGAAGAATGGCAGCTTTTTGTAACAGGATGAATTATATTACTCATTTCACCTGTTAGTGGTTTTAATGTTGTGGCTGTTTGGTGTAGCCCAGCGATAAATTATAAAGCGGGACTACAGAGACTGAGAGATTGTAATGCAGGAAAGGAAAGAAGGGCAAATTTCTACGACTAATCAGATCACTCAATTTGTTTTAGTACATCTTTAACCTTGACCATTTCGGTTTCTTTTGTAAAACCAGAGCCAAGAGCCAACAGCGAGACAATTAAGAAGATTAACTGCTGTCGGATCACTGTCCTTGAACCACGTAAAGACGGATAAACAGCTGAGTGAGATCAAAGCTGCCCAGCCTGTTACAACGGGCTCAAAACAAGAGACAGAAGGAAAAAAAGACTGAACTGATAAAAGACGAAAAAATAAGCAAAGGCTATCAGACATGGATGAAAAAGAGGGCGGGAGAAACAAAAAACCCCTGAAAAAAAAAACAAAACAGGGGTCTGTAGTCAGTGATCACATAGATGAAGATAGTAGATAAGCAGGCGGATAAAGGGAGAGTGAATGTGCAAACAGCAGAGGGGTGTGTTCTGTGATCTTGGCCGATGTCCTGACGTGCTACATGAAGGGGAGTTCACTTGTTGACAGACAGAGGAAGAACACACTCCAGCAGGCCACACACACACACACACACACCCCTGTGACTCCCATCTGTTGCAAACAATGCAGGCCCGCCGCCCTCCCTTTGAGAACGCTCACATGTGTGTGCACGTTTTTCCTCTGTTCTTTCTGCTGAGAGGAAGGACCGTCCGCCCAACACCAGAACACACCGACCCATGAAAGCAACAATAACACGGCTGCAGTACACGATGTGAGGCATTTCAGGGTGGTCAGGCCTATTCTTTAAAAGACTCTAAGGTTCATTAGTGAAAAGGCCCTTTAAAGCCATAGATGACCCAGGTGACTCCATCTGTTATGTCCCTTATTACATAGCAATACTAATAACAAATAACACTTGCTTGTTTTTCCACTTTCTAACACATCAGCTTTGAGGACCAATTGTTCACTTTCTTTCTGACATGTCCCACCCACTAAAAGGTGTCAGCTTTATTCACCTCACCTGTGAGTGGTCAGGTCGGGGCATGTTAAGGCCAGATTTAATGCTGTTTTTAAGCAGTTATCACATAAATAATAAAATGCATTGCCATTGGTTATCCAAATATCCTCTCCACCTACACAGATTCACCCAAATGCACAGTAAACTTATTTCTACAACTCTCTCTCTGCATTCCTAATACTTGCAATCTCTTCATATGACTTGGATTTTTAATAGCAATTACAAATTAATGAAAAGAAACCAACCAAAGCAAAGCCATGAGGATCTGATCTTCCTATTAGAGCCTTTAATATCCTCCAGGGGAAATAAGTAGCAAGCACAGCAAACAAACTGTTCAAATTCACACACCCAAAAAAAAAATCTTGTCATGATAAGAAATTCATTTTATACTTCTGACCAGAATGAGATAAGATATATTACAGGATCTATTCTGTTCGTATAAGGTTGGATGATCTGATATCCTCGTGTCGGTGTTGTTCCCACATCATATTAAATGTTGTTCCAGGTTCAACATTGCAAGTGACCAATCACATTGTTGTGACGTCCCCCTTTTCTGCCTTTGAAAAATACCGCCTTAAAAAAAAAAATCTACTTCACTTGCGAGAAGAGAAACCGCTTCTGTCCGCCGATCCAGGAACTTGAATTCTTTGAATTTCAGGATACTTTTCTTTAATAAATGGTAAGCATTATACATATTGTCCTTACAGAGGTGGTTTCTTTTCTCGCAATTGAAGTAGATTTTTTGAAGGCGTTGGTTTTTTTGAGGTCGCGGATGACGTCAGGAGAAGGTGATTGGTCACTTGCAATGTTGAACCTGGAACAACATTATTTATGATGACGAGGGAACAACACCAACGCAAGGATATCAGATCGTCCAATAAGCACATCCGCAATTTAAAGATTCTGGCTGACAGATAATTTTGACGTCAAATAAGAAAGTCACATAAATCAAAAACTAATAAAATAAACAGTGTGAGTACAATATTCAAATGAATGTTTCAAATGCAACAAAGGGCTGAGTGTGGCAAGTGGCTGTGTTCATATGAGGATGTGTGAACTAACACACTGAGCAGTGGCTGCTTTTACAGGATTAATGGTTCTATTCATCAACACAGGACCTACAATCAGAAAAAGTGCCATGTCAAGTCAATCTGCTAATATCCTGCTGTTTTGACGTGTCTGTGCCAACGCGCTTATCTCTCCAGCTCATCATACCATGCCAGGCTGCTGAGGATCACACAAATATTAAATTTCCTTTGTCATTTGGCAACTGCAGATCTTAATCACGAGAATAATAAATAACTTCTCATACATCTTCGGTCAAAGGCTGTGAGTGATTAAGTTTCATCAGCGATCACACCCAGTGTTCTCTATAGATGAGCTAAAGCTGCATCTAAATCTGTGGCAAGTTTCCCTTCCTGCAAAGCATGCTCATAATAATAACAAAGACAATGCACTATTGTTTAGAATGCATGATTTTTGCCATGTTCATCACATTAGTTTTCAGTGTGTTTGCTTTTTTAATATTATTTTGCTTTGATCTGCTGGCCATGTTTAGACATTGGGTTAAAGACAAAAAACCCTAACTGGTGCAGTTAAGGCACACAAAAAAAACTGCTTGGTTTGGCACAAAACTAAAAACTAAAATAAATGAATAAGAAAAACTACTTAGGTTATGAAAAGATTGTGGCTGGGGTTACACATGCCCCCTCCTACATTGGACCTTGCACACTGAAAAGTTGGAAATGCCAGCTCTGTCTTTATAATGCAATGACCTGGTCCACAACCTGCCACCTTGAACATACTGTAAAGGTGACAAACTGGCAGCTTTCTAAAGCCTGTATACCTTGACTAGAATATTTTGGAATATCTGTCTCAGTTCATACTATAATCCTTCCAATACTATCCAAGCATTTCAGTCAAAACCACAAATGTAAACTTCGCTGTGGTGCAAGAGGAAATTCAAGAGGGGCACCAGCATCATTAACCTGCACCTTCTTGAAGCCATGAGTTGAATTTCAGCAGATAGACATTTCATTTTGAACCAAACTGACAGACTGACAAAGTGACACTGCTACACCACTAAAGTGTGGTCTTAACCCAGCCCACCTCAGCACTAAGCTATAAGCAGCAGCTAGAGACACCAAAAAAAAAGGTCAACTTCAATATAAAGGTTCCTGCCTCTTAAATTAACAAAATAAGACATGAAAATTATATTTTATTGAAGGTAAATACATCTAAAATACCAGCTGTACCTTGTTTTTGCTTTTCCCTGGCTTCCAGAAAGGAAAGATGCAATAGAAGAAAAATTTTGCCCAACTGAAGACGGTGGCGAGACACCAGCCTAGTCCGCCCATTCTCTCGTGGAAAAACAAAAAAAACAAAAACCTCCTCGCGTCCTCTACCGTATCCTGTATCTCCTTGCTTTGTCTCCCCTCCCTCTCTAGCCTGCCCTTCAAGAGCCGTGTCCAGAGGTGCAAAGACTCTAGCAGTGTGACCTGGAGAGAATCCCAGAATGGCTTTTCATCCAATCCAAGAAAAGGTACCTTTTTCTAGTGTTTTAAAAAACTGGAGATCCCATAAAGTGCACATTACTCGTAAATGCCTTCTTCGCTCTCTTGTCTAGCATCCCTACAGCATCCCTCCATCTTTCTGTGGATGCTGCAGGATCTGCCATTCAAAGCATGAGGAGGAAAAAGATTAGGAGAGGGGAACTCAGAAGTGGGCGGTGGTGGGATGGGTCAGGCAGAGCCGTCTGGTTAAGAATGAGGCACTTATAGTGATGGAAAAAGGAGGGGGGGGGGGTCTTAAATTTAATGTAGAACAGTGGGGGGATGGCTTGAAGAGAGAAAGAACAATAAATCAGAAATGTGTTGAGTGGACAAGCAGTCCGTCATCACAGTTTAAATAATGATGTATACTACAAAGCTGGTATGCTCCAGCTGATAATTCAAGCGCTTCATGTTTGAGGTTTGCAGTGAAAGAACCTAAAAAGAATAAAATGAATGCAGTATTTGGACTCAGTGGAGGATGCTGGTGCATTTGGAGCTTTCAGGGTTTTTTTTTTTAATGAAGACTGGCAGATTCTGACCAATCATAAATGGTGCATGGAGCCTCTGAACCAGTTTGCATCTTGAGTGATTAGTTGGGTGCCTAGCTTTCCTTATTGGATAAAGTGGAAGGCAATTGAAAGCAATGGCTCCTAACTTGCTTTACATTTGAGGAAGAGCAAGAAAGTGTGTGCAATTACAAAAGGAGGCTTGTGATTATCCAAATTCTCTGCATTAAATTTGCAATTTCACCCAATTTAATCACTGATCATGAGACAATTTACCATTTAAAGAATTCAGAAAATGGAATAGTTGGCTCTTTATTTGGAAAACCTCCCAACCGCAGCTCACTTTCATTGCTTCCCCTCAGAGAACTCAGAAAAGAAAGACTGTGACTCTTTGGTGAAAAGGCCATAAGATAGGCCGTTAAGGCCAATTTGGGTATATTCTTAGCTTTTTGTTCCCGCTCTGTGGTTTCTTACAGTCAGCCTTTTCCATAGCCTGCCACAGATTTTTTTTAAAATGTCAAAAAGATGTTGGAAAATGTGAAGATGGTTACACTTTTATATCTGGTGTGCCCATCTGGTATGACTTTAGTCCAGAAATCCCAATTGTTAACAAAAAATAACCCCAAGTAAATGAGACTGTACGTGTTCAAGGAGTTTATCCTAAAAAATACACTTACACAATAGCAAACTTTTTACACTACAATGAACAACCCCAGGAAGCAACAAACATTTGTACATGTACAAATTAAGAGTCACTTCTTACAATCAAAATAATTTCGCATTGTATCAAGATAACTTTACATGTAAATGAATGCAAAAAAAGAGAGTGAAACATGGCAAATATTTAGCAAATTACCAGTAAATGTTGTTGTTAAGCTGTCAGATGTATTTAAGTAAAGCTTAATAATTAAGTTGGACTCTTATCAGTTTGATAGCAGCTAATTATTTAGCTTACCCACATAAATCATTTCCATCAAACCTGCTGAAAAAAGAAACTGTTCAATACCAACCTAACCAAGTCTAACTAATCAGTTCAAGCCTTGATTGTGCTTTGCTGCTGACCCGATGGCCCAGTAGGTGTACCAGATGCACTCCATTTAAGTTGGCTTAAAGTCTATTGGCTGGGGTGAATGCATTGTTGGTCTAAAGCAAGTTCTTAGCAGGAGCAGCAGGCGTGTGGACATCCGCATGGACCCTCGAATTCATCACCTAATGATGAAATGTATGTCACTCAAACTCACGCGGACCCTTGAAGACTTATGTGATAAGTATCCTAGCTCAACTATCCATTAGCATGTTAGCTACCTTTTCCCCCCTATTTAATTTTATTTTTCAACAGATTAAGAGTTTGAGGGTTTGAGTGATATAACCCTACAACTCCCTACAACTCCCTGCAAAAACTCCTGAGAGTTAAAACTTTCAGGATTTTATGCTCCAGGAGATCAAATTTAATGATTTGTTTCCCTAGTTTACTCACCCATCTCCACTTTCCCAACTTCCCATAGCTAAAGCCGACTTGGACACATTTAGCTTACTTCCTTAAGCATTTCTGACATGTCTGAAATGTCCTGATATATGGACAGATGCTTTGTGTATTATAGAGAAAACAAAACTGCCTGGGGAAACTACAAGACCTCGCTGCAAAAATGGTGATATGATGTGTGACGAGCAATTACATTCATGTTTATGCAGCCTAAGACTCAGGGTGTAGAAGAGAGAATACAAATTCTAAGCATATAAATAAAAATGCAAACAAAGCACAAATAAGATTCCAGTTTACTTTGCTGCACAAGCAGTGTGCTTGTTCTGAAGACACTTGCAGATTTCTACAAATTTTAACATTTCAGTTACTGAAACACAAAAGGGACCATTTATGTATCAAAGAAAAAGAATATAACCAGAGGTTTCCAATAAGAGCAATACTGCACATTTTCCAGAGCATTTAGCAGATATGTTATTCTTGCAGACACTTTGAGAGTGAAGCTACTGTAAGTTCTCACGTGAAGGAAAGGTCTCACCATTACACCAACCTATCAAGAGCTTTAAGCTTACACAATACTGGCAAAGGGAGAGAAGTTCCAGAGAAGGCGCAGGGACAACACTATGCACACTTCCTGCCTCTCTGCGGGACAAACAATGGGCTGGTTTCACGTCTCAATCTGGCAACGTCAGCTCTGTTGTCCATTCTAGGAAACCAGACAAGAGGTGAGGGAGTGAAGGGTCATTGTTTCTGGGAGAATAAGAGGGGAAGTGGCTGGTCATGGTCTTAATGTGGGAGGGTTCACTGGGATGTTTTACTCACAGCTGGTGGCATCCATTTGTCACTTTAATTTGATATTGTGTATCAGTAAAATGCAGTGGATTTCTAAAAGCACTGATAAAGAAAAACTGTTTTAATGCCATCTGGGTTATACTTTTTTCCACCACTCAGGAATTACGTCATCCCATTTTCCCAGAACATCAGATCTAACAATGCTGCGGGGCAACAAAATAACGTCTAGCATATGAACTCAACATTGAAAATGTAGCGTTTTATATTCAATAGGCATCGCCAGTTAGTCGCAGCCTTCTCATGAGACTTATTAAGTGCAGACGCTGCGCTGCAAACTCTTTCATCTTTATTCAATATTTTACATACATTTCAGCTGTCAGTAGTGAGTGCCAGTCTGTGCCCAAGCCTTCACTAAATCATGAAGGCCTTGCTGGTTATACCCAGTATGCACATGACTGCAGTAAGAGACCGTTATTCCTGTAAATACGCCCAGGATTTGTTAGCAATCACTGCATCACTAGAAGGCAGAACAAATCTACAATGAAGTTAACTAATAGCCAATAATACCATTTGCACTGGAGACCCATTTGTTTAAATATTCCACTTCATATTTCTGCCCCCAACAAAGTGGTTGTGATTGATGCTGCAATTACCTCCTGCCCCTCCCATTATTGATCTAAGGCGTTTTTGGGATTGAGAGCTTGGCGGCTTTAAGCACATGGCAGAAAGCCATGAGGGAATTAAGTGAAAGCTAAGCTCATTTCATCTTTTGACATAGCACAGAAACACTCCTCTATCTTAAGTCGGCAGATGGGAGCAGTTTTGGCAAATTAGCAATCATGGAAAATTCATGTGTGGATTGGTGACAGAATGGAAAGCACATGAAAGATGCTGGTTTGAGAAAAGCTATAATCCCAGCTGCTAACCCAAAGCTGCTTTAGGTGGAAGAAAGATTTTAGTTTTTACCTGCAGGCAACTGATACTACAAATCTGAATCTGTGTACGAGGTGAAATTTGGAAAAATGTTATTGTTTTATGGAATATTTTATTCCATAACACTTTAAAGGTAATTTGTTTGGGAAAAAAATGTCAGTTATGGGTTGTTTTTGATTGTTTTTTAGGGATTTGGTTTACGGAGGTCCAAATTTACTGGTAGGTTTAGGGTTTACAATGAAATTCATCAGAATTTATCCCATTTTTCCTACATTATTTTAGATGCATACGGCAACTATGAAGCTAATAAATCATAAGTGTACAGGAAGGACTCTCTAGCAACTTCAATCCTTTGTAGGGGAGTAAATTACGAATTCCAAAAAGGAAAGGGTGAGATATTTAACCTTTACTTATCATCTACACGAGCAGCCACCACACATAAAGTACACAAAGTCACCACTTCACCTTTGGAGGAACTATCAGTCTGCCACTGAGCAATCATCAGCTGTCTCATAAAAGCCCAGACGAGGCTGAAATGGACAAGCTGTAGGCCAAGGTGATGAAAGCGGTGAACATCCATTTTTAGAGAGACAGCTCTGTCATACCTCACTTTGAAACTGTAGGTACTTCTAAGTATACATAACCCTGACTACATATGCAATATTTTAGGATTTACATTTAGCCATTATGGATTAACCGATGGTCATTTAAAGAACTCTGTCCAATCAGCTGACTAGTTCACGACAGATGTTAGTCCACCTCACAGCCCTATGTAAAACAGTCCTCAGTGTGAAAGTTATTACGGTCTGTGAAGCCATAAAGTAATTACCTCTGCGGACACCTCCACATCAGAGGACAGGACGAAAGAAATGGACGAAGCACAGACCGTCTCTGAGCGAGGTCAAAAAACAGACAGACGGCACAAGGCAAAGTGTTTGTCATAAAAAACATTTTATCAGGTTAAGGTACAGGAACAAAGTACTTCATAACAATGTCGACTTTTTTTAAGTGGACACAAATCAAAAGGGCAGAAACCACCTTTCAACTGCAGCCCAGTCTCACAACTAAACGTGAAACAGAAAAATGTATCTACTTTTTGTGTTCATCGGCAGAAATTATCACATTTTCCAGTCAGTGAACACGAATGTGGAAGTAATGCATTTCAAAAGGAATTTTGAGTCACAAGGACATATTTCTATACTAAAAGCAGGGAGACTTCACCATGGCAACCAACAAAGAAAAGCTTTAAAAAGCGTGGCAAATCTTGTCATGATCTTTTTCCAAACCTAACCCAGTAATTTTAATGCCTAACCAGTAATAATATTTCTAATAATATATTTTAAAATGATGTGTAAAAATCTTTGGCTTCAAACTTTGGCCTCTAGCATGATCAGTAACATGAATCGCTACAGCTCCAACCTCTCCAACTTCTAAATATAGACATTTTGTTTTCTCGTGTTTTCCATTTATTTCATGTTCAAAAGATTAGCGATGCGAGTCCAGGTTGTCTGCCATCCAATGTAATTCATTTATTTTAACAAAAATATACTTGGATCCTTGTCTATTACTTCTTGCATTTTAATATTGAGGTATTTTCGAGGGGATTTTATATATTTTAACACAGCCGAACTACGTTTCAAACAAAGCTCATAAATACAACACTTTTCACCTCTTACAAGTCCAAGCAATACTGAGCCTGAGACAAATGGAAACAATATAAGCACTGTGACAGTCAGACAGTGTCTTGTCTGTCTCTTTTTATTTCTAAAGCTGAAAGCAGTGCATAAAACAATAGGAAGAGCAGCTGAAACAACACTAGCAGTCACTTTCCGCTGTAAAAATGACATCATCTGCAGCACAGAAATCAGCTGTATGTAATTAACCTTGACAGCAAATCAGACTAAACTGAACTTTTTACAGTTATCTGCTTTACAAGTGGAACGAAGGACCCTGTTAACAACAATTTTACAACCTCTAACATTCCATGACAAACAAAAGCCACGACTCCAGCCAAAAGCAGGATAATGATTAAACCTTTCAGTTTTAAAGTCCTGCATGGACAGTTTGGATCAGCATGAGTCATCCTACTTTTTCACTCAATAAAAATGTTTACAAACTTAACCAAGATGTAATACCACATGTGAAAATTGTTTTTTGTCAGCTCACTTACACAAAGGGGAAATCTGACAACAGAAATCAAAGAGGCCAAAAAATGTCGCAACAATCAGAGTTTGGAACATTGGAAAGTGGTTGAAACAGTAACCTGAAAAATACAACAGCTTTGGTGCTGTGCATGCTAGGGCTGACCTCAACACCAGGAGCAACACCCTGATCACCCACAGTTTAAAATGACATGTTGCAACAGCACTTACCAGCCAGAGGGACATCGCAGTTCACTTTGAAGACACCTGGGCAGTAATTCCCTTTAACAGATCCGTAGCTTATTGAACACCGAGCTAGCTTTTCTGGGATTAACACAGCTCTGTTAGTCCCCCACAAAATTGGATGCACATACCAAAAAAAAAGAGCCTGACAGTCTGGCCCTTATCCTGACATACTTCCTGAGCTGTATTGTTAGTGCAGGGAGAGGAAACACGCACCGTGGAAAGCCAGTGTCAAGAGATCATAACATGGAAAGTGAGAATACCAGGAGCTATTGTTTGTTCTGATATTTTTTTTGCGTTTCTTGTAATTTTGCAAGGTCAGAGGTTAAGATAAAAACAGCCAGAGTTGCTCTCTAATAATCTGTTAGAATCTAGAACTTTGACAGATGCTAGCACATTTCAAATCCAGCAAATTATAAAAACTAAAAATTTTACTTCAGAAAGAAAAAAGCTTACAAATCATATAAAAAGTTCAATTTCTGATTTGTTACTTAAGACTCATCATT